ATTTAGAGCATGTGCTTGTGTTTGATCGCTTGCCACCAATTACGCTGTTCATGTTGTTGGTATTTTTGCTGTTACGGAGTTTCTGCTCTCAAACTTGCATTTTCGATTTTGGCATGTTTTCATCATTGCCATGTATCCAATAGGTTTCTTTTTATGGGTTCAACTATTGGCTGAGAGTCGTCTCATTGAATTATTTCCTTATTGTTTATCCAATTATTTCACACACCCCTTCACATCCTCCATAGTTTACACCTTTGGAATGCCTTTGGTCTTTATCGTGACTTTTTGCATGTTGTGCAAATTGAACAAGCTGAAATTAGTTAGACAACAAATGAATTCTTAAAAAAGAGTACTTCTGATCATGTGCAACACAATGCTTGAATGAATCTTGGTTTCTTCAGCTGTCAGAAAAGATGAAAAAACTACTATTTATATATAGTAAATACAAATGTATATTTTCTCAACCCTTCACATGAAAAACTTTCTGACAATTGCCATAAAAATAGGTGAGAAAGAGATCTCGACATTTTTGATGAATAAGTGGTGAAGACAGAATTTACATACTGCTCATCAAAAAATCAATACGAAAGTCAGGACTTGATCAGTATTTTACGAAAAAAGAGCACTCGAATCCAATATCATCTTGAGAGATCAGATTCGAGAATTTTCTAGGGCCCTCAAATCTTCCCAAAAAAACATTAAATTTATCTAAATTCATCTCTGCACATCAAACACTCGACTTTGGGTAAGTGTGTTGTAAGTAATGTCGGAACCACTAGAGATTACCAGTCCCTCTGGGAATTGGCTTGATCAAGCGAAGGTGCAAGGAAAATGATGTTTTGTAAACAGCTGTGCCAAGGTTCAAAATTTTAGCCTTAACAACACCCAAAAAAAATTAAATATTGTTTATTGGCCCTTCGGTGCCTCAATACTTGTCATAAAACAACATTGGACTTCATTTTCGTTTAGATACTACTTCTGAATGTCAGATAATGTATTCTCATCTTTCTCAACTGGTGGATCGTTAGTTTTCTCAACTGATGGATTTTCTCTAAAGGTGATTGCGTCACATAGATGATGTTGTAAAGATTGTAACAAGTGATGCGAATGATCTAATGGCTTCCGTGCCTTTTCTTCGCAATTTCTGTTCTCTTCATTTCGTATATATTCATTAAGTTTGGCGTTTAATTGTTTGAGGGTAGCTGAAATGTAATTCGCTTGTTGTTCAATTCTTTCCAAACGTCTTTCCAGGCTGTGGAGCATGCAAGAGTCAATTCTGATGTTCATCTTGCGGTATTTTTTAAGGGCTCGAACCACAAACAAAATGCTCAGCAAGAAAAGAAGTACATCTCAGACACCAACAAAATACGGATCATCATCATCTCTGACATCTAGAAGCCGAGAAATGAAGAAGATTAAGAAGAGCAGTTTGGAGGAGTCTGAAGAGGTGAAGAAATTGTTGGACAAGATTTTTCAGCATGATGATGCAAGTCCATTCAAATTTGCAACAAATGAAGAAGATAGGCTTTCCACTCCCTGATTTCTATTGAGGTAAGCTTTTTAATGAATAATTGCAACCTGTGTCCGTCATCAAAACACGTAGAACGAAAATATTGACATTACAACAAATCCATTGTATGAGGAAATTTCAAACATTTTTCATGAACAATTAAACGTGGCCACTGAACAGAGCTCCTCTTGGATGGACTATTATTCCTTTATCAGCAAACTAAATAAGATTCTCACAAGTCAAGAAGATTCAAGATCAATGATTAATGAAGAAATATTTGCTCAATTGAAGGATATTCCATC